CCATCGAGCAGTTGTTATGCAGGATGCCGATACCGCCAAGTAGTGCCATAGTAATGGCCATACTAGCCTCGGTAACCGTATCCATAGGACTGGAAACAAATGGTACCTTTAGCGAAATCTTCTTGGTAAGCTTGCTCTCTAGCGTAACCTTGCTGGCTGGGAAGTTAATGAAGCCAGGTAGGATGAGAAAGTCGTTATAGGTGATGCCGGCATGTGCACGCGAGTCTAGTAGATCCACGGCCGATAGACCATCGCGGCCAAATTCCTTTAGCACTTCATTGGCCTTGGTGTAGTCAAGGATGTTTTCGGTGGGTGCGGACATCGTGTATATGTATACCGGAAAGGCAAGACAAAGGGCAGATATAGCCGTCAGCAATAGCACACAGCGAGGATAGTAAAGTAATAACGGGTCGGACAACGGGAACCAAAGCAGCTTAGAGGAAGTTGGCGCGTTGCCACTAGAAAAACAGCTGTGGCCGAAATGAGCCAGTATTTATGGGAAATCAGAGTAGGTGTGATTTTGCTTTTTCTTTTTCTTTTTTCGTCTACAGCGAAGGGGTTTCGTCTACAGCGAAGGGGTTAGACCCCCGCCACCATTTGTCATCGTTACTATCACGTGTTCATATAGAATATACAATCATAACCAATTTATTGTATTCTACGCAAACAAACAAAACATCCTATAACAACAGTATCACTACTGGCTACTGCAGTCGTATTGTTATCACTGTTCATTTAAGCATTGCCATCGTCAATATTATCCAATACATTGTCCTCGTTAGTACCATCCAATGCATCGCTAGCTTCATTATCGGCTGATAACATTCGACTATGAACACGCATCTTTCGTATCTGTGCCATACCATTGTTGTCTCCTTTCCATGAGCTGTAAAGTGTATTAAATGTTAATTATGTTAATTAATTTATTATTATTATTATTTAGCTGCTTTAATACTTACTAAAGTGTGTTTACATTTGATTCAATTGTCAGATCAGGAACATCTAAACATATAATTAGCTGTTAATTACTATTTAATTAAAAAATAGTATTTCAACTTACCAAGACCATTGCCTTGAAAATCAGCTTGTTCTTTAGTCTGTAATGACTCCAGCAAATCTTCACGAGCTGATTTTGGGCGGTTGCCATATTTGCGCTGTTTACGCAATCTTTCCAGCTCTTCATCATGTCGTTCTACATAACTATTTATATATACTGTTAATAAACATAATTATATAATAAACGCCAGTAACAACATACATGCTAACAAGTTCTAAAAGCTCCGACCGAGTAAGCAATTCACGTTCAGTATTCATCAGCATGTCGCGAAACCATAGGTAACGGTCCGCTGAAGTATACCATAATAAATACAGCCATTCAATTAGTCATTAACGCATAAAGCATACTACTTTGTATATATGTTTACCTGTACGTCCAGAGCCTGCCACTCGCTCTTTCTTTTGCTGTGCCAGTCGATCAGTTCGCAATAATGAGCGAGTTATCTGGTTGGCCTTACGGGAGTAAGGATGTGCAACATGCTTGGCCTTAATGTTCTTGAGCGTATGTTTTCGGTTGTTTGGCTACATTCGTATAAATTCAAAGCAGTGCATTAGCAATTACCACTATAATACAGTAACATTATGAATAGTTACCATGATGTTATGAATTTAGCAAAGATTAGTAAAGTAAACTGAAATTTTTCTTTTTTTTGTAAATATTGAAATGTTATTTAGAAATTTGACTAATTAATTAATTAAAATGTTTGTTCATACAATGTACCATTCCATTAGACTGCAAAATTATAACAGCCCTTGCATTATAATTTAATTAAATCCGCAAATATTAATGCAACCGTTTTATCAACTACTAATTCAAGGTCATAGTTTCAACAATGCTTTATTTACTGATCGTTGTATTTGTTATCAAACACATAGAAATATAGAATGTGGTTTAGCATGTGCCAGAATAAATTGTTATAAACTGAATATTAATAGTAATATCGTATGTATGTATATATATAAGCACCAAATTAACATTGCGTACAAATACAGCTAGCTATTATTACCGTCTAAAACGGCGCTTCAGATATTTTCATATGCCAGTCCATTAGTAGATTGTCGACATTTAGCAATGATCTGATTGTATTTGATTCCGAAATAGCCGATACACACTTGGTGTGGTGATTTCCACGCTTGGATTGTTGCTGACGCTTTTGTCTAATGGCATTGCCATTAGTAATGATATGGGGGCATGATTCAAGTGCATCAAGTAAAATAAGAGATAGATCGGAATCAGTCACAGGCGACTCGGGCATATTTGAAACGAGTGGACTGGTTGGCAGATCGGTACTCTCGACGCTTAAGTTCTCAAAAAGCATCCAGTCGTCATTGCCATAATTCTGGCTGGATTTGACCTGTATTAATTGCGGTTTTGCAAAACACGTTATCTTGACCACACGAGCAATATGCATCGATTCAGGACGACTACGTAATTCTACATCATAAACTGTGTCGCCAGCATGCCAGCATGCCTCTTGGTCAAATAGTAAAAAAGGCAAGCCTGAGTGGAGCTCCATCAAGAAGAGTATTTGCTATATGTAGCTAGGCTGATGTGCGTTAAAAACGGTTATGCTAATAATGCGTGCGCTATTTGGTTGATTAGCGAAATGCTTGGAAAGTGGATAGATATGAGAATAGAGCAGAAAACAGATTTGCGTGATTTGCTAGCTAAAGAAAACAAATAAGAATAAATAAGCGTAAAATATAAAGCTTTGCCTACGTAACTGAAAACTTGACAGTGCATCGGTGTATTAGACGAACAATCAACGCTTTATACCCACTCTCAACAACAAGGTGAAAGCTGTAACTGTGTTTAACTAAATGTTCCTGTGGTAACTCGGGTAATAGCTTCATTTACCGCCGTATTTCATTCGAAACATCACTTGGCCTTTAGTGCAACGTCGATTTTCAAAACGATGTATATACACGCCTAACTTTTGCCAACAGTGTCGCTACACTTGCAATCCCTATGAACACAAGAGTCTAGGGGAATAGGCAAACAACAAGCAATACTTAGTTAAAATATCGCCTATTACCTGCAATGAAATCGCCTGTTCTTACTTCAGGTTACAGAAGTCATGTTTCAAGCGTTTATCATTGTATACATTCAACTATGTTCATTAATGTGTTTCTGTTTGCGTGCTTATCCGTTGTACACCCCCGTTACTCAATGCAATTGAAAATTAGTAATTTGAGCTCAAACAGGCTAATTGTTTAATCTAAACAAACAATGCTACTAGCCTCCTGTCATTATACACCTGATAAAAGCAGTTTTATCTACAATACGCAGACACAAGCGTGGCTTTGTTTTAAATGGTTTTCATTTATAAACACTAACAATAAGTTGCGCACATTACATATCTATGATTGCTTGCCCTATATTAACACACGCACTACATATGTAATTGTTTCTTTGCGTTGTTTAATAAAGATTATCAACACTATCACAGTCTAAACATGTCTCTACTTGAATTCCTGTCAGCCAGGAGCAAACTGTTGAAACTATTTTTTTATTTTTTTATTGCACATTAATAATATTTTTTTTCTTTTTACTTGCCACTTTTACAGTCTGCCCTATATCATTACTATTTCCGCTGTTTAGTGGTATTCTCTGCTATTACTGCCAACCTGATTTGACTTTTATTTCACGCTAAGCCATGGCCACTCAATATGCCGACGTAATGATTGATCCCGAGGCGTTGCAAGTCGTCCAGACCGCTGTCGAAGATACAAGTATGGCGGTGGATGAACCAAACAAGCCTAGCTTCAAACCACTCAAAGCCGGATCGGCGAAGGTATGTATTGCTTATTAGAGGCAGGCTACTACGCAGATAGTCGTAGGTATTGCTGGATAATAATGCCTGTTTAAGTACGGGCCTTGAAGTTAACACAAAACATACTGATGATTGCTATTGAATAGGGCGGTAAAGCAGAATCGCGTAAAGTAGCAATCCCACCACATCGTATGTCTCCATTAAAGCGCGATTGGCTTAAGGTCTACTCGCCACTAGTTGAACATATGAAACTTCAAGTTCGTATGAACATTCGAAGCAAGACCGTTGAATTACGAGTAAGTATTAGTATACGAATAGACACCATCAGTCAAGCGTATATATAAACATAACAAACATAAAACTATTACTAATTATTATTAATATTTATTTATTTATTTATTATTTATTTATTATTTATTTATTATTAATTAATTAATTAACTAATAGACATGCAAGCAAACAACAGAAGCCAGCGCATTGCAACGAGGTGCCGATTTTGTTAAAGCATATGCACTTGGTTTTGAGATGGAGGTATGTTACAATATACTTATTACTTACAAAAAGCTTATAAAACGATAGGATGCAATTGCATTGCTACGACTCGACGACTTGTATATTGATACATTTGAAATTAAAGATGGTGCGTTATTTTGCGTAGCATTGATGTCAATATAGCTTACCAAACTGACCCGTGCATATAACCATTAGTAAAAACACTTCAAGGTGATAATTTGGCACGCGCTATCGGCCGTATTGCAGGTAAAGATGGCAAGACACGATTCACAATCGAAAATGCCTCAAAGACACGTATTGTACTGGCAGACACGTAAGTCATCACACAAAACATAACGCATATATCCTACCTGCTTACACTGCCTTTACATTTACTTTTGTAGCAAGATTCACATACTTGGTAGCTTCCAGAACATTAAGATTGCACGCGATGCTGTTGTTAGTCTAATTCTTGGTAGTCCACCAGGCAAAGTTTACAACACGCTTCGTACAATCTCGTCACGAATGAAGGAGCGATTCTAAGTCCACCAGCGTTAGAATTTTGTTTTTGTTGCGCGACAAAATATATATGTATGCCTGTCTGTCCGCTTGTTTCTCTTTTACGCAAAAACAATCGTTTCGTTTACAAAAATAAAACAAATAAACAGCAAAAAGAAATGCCCACTGCCGGGATTGAACCAACGACCTTTGGTTTACAAGACCAACGCTCTGCCACTGAGCTAAACGGGCTATCAAAAAAAGCACAAAAGCTTTATATATTCAAATTTTTAAATTTTGTAAAATCTACAGAAACAGATTTTTAGCATGCTACTTTACAGCAACATGCATTATGTGCTATAACATGCATATTGAGTCTTTCAGACTCTTATTCATTGTTCAATAAACATTGTAAATCTAATCGGTTACTAAAACTATAACTAAAGCAATATAAGCCAGTATATGGCTTTTTAACGTATTGTGTTATAGTAAATCTTATTTTTTATAACGCTATTTTGCTTTAGTTATAGTTTTAGCAACTAGCATAGAATATAAACGCTGATTAAACAACAGCAAGTAATGTAAGTCATTACTTTTTTACTATATTGTTCTATAGTAGATTCATTTTTAGAACGTTATTCGTGTTTTAGTTCTAGTTTTAACAACTAGTACAGAGTACAAACGCCGTTTAAACAATGGCAAGTAATGTAAGTCATTATATGACTTTTTTTACTTGTTTGTTGTCTAGTTATAATAAAAATAGCTTGTGTATACAAAAATAATAAATCTGCGTAAATATGCTGTGGTATATGTTTAGATATATGCTTACTGGATGCATATATAGTCAACGTCCGATATATGTCGTCTGTATGATATACACACAGATTATGGGCGCTTTTATCCAATAATTCAATCTCCTTACATCGCTATTTATTCCTACTCGTTTTAAGGCCAGATTGCAGCTAAGACATGATTACTGCTGGTTATTACAGCAAGGAAATCATACGGCAATTCTAGCTTCATCATCTCATCACACAGCCGCTTATTTGCACAATATCGAGCCGTGTTTATTATATCGTCTTGGGTATAGTGATGTCAAATGCGTCTGGCTTATCAAGAAGGCGTGTGCCAGGCGCTGGGAAGCGCGATGGGTCGGGCGGCGACGATGACGGCAGCATACACGGCAGTGATAACGGTGCAACTAGTCAGCGACTAGAGAATGGCAACAGTAGCGAGCTGCATGATGTTGATGAGTTTGCACCGCGATTAACGCTAATGGAAGAAGTATTATTACTTGGCTTAAAAGAAAAGGAGGCAAGTAACAGCATATATTAAACTTGCCTTGTGTAATATTGATGGGCTAACAGCGCTACACATAAAGGGCTACTTGTCCTTTTGGAATGATAGCATCTCGTATGTTCTACGTGGCTGCATACTAGCTGAGTTGGCATTGCGAGGGCGTATTGGCATTGTCAGTGAAGGCGCCGCATTTCGACGAGCCACGACGGCCTTGGCAGAACAGCCAATTGAGGTGCTTAACCAGCGATCAACAGGCGAAGTTCTACTCGACGAAACATTAAAAATTATTAAAGCGGGCGAGCGAGCATCTATTCTAAATTGGATTGACTTTCTTAGCGGTAAAGCGAATAGACAAGCGGCATGTATTATGAACTAATATATGCCAATTTATTTAGGTGAAACTTGGAATATAAGCAAGATTGGCTACCAGCTTAAACAGGTGCGTGAACGATTGGCTAAAGGTCTGGTAGACAAAGGTGTTTTACGAACGGAAAAGCGTAACTTTCTACTATTCGACATGGCAACACATCCCGTGCAGGACATGGCAGCAAAACGTATTGTTATTCAGAAATGCCTTGATCTTGTATTGGCACGGACACCGATGATATCGGACGACCCGGCACCTGATTACCAACTACGACGTATATTATTTGTTTGTGCATCCTACGCAGCCAATGTACTAGAAAACGCACTACCTATGCTTGAATTTGAAGGCGAGAAGCCTGCTATGCCAAAGCAGATGCACTTATTGCCGAACACAATCGATGGCCTATGCCTGAAGCATCATGGAAGGATTTAGAGAACTATATACCCAAAGCAAGCTTAGAAGTTATTGCAGGTGTATTTAGTGTATATGCACGAATGGATAGCGTGCTATAATTCATATATTTACCTATCTATCTACCTATCTATCTATCTATCTATACTGTTCTCTTCGATTTTTGCATAAACAGTCTTGGCCAGTATCATCAATTGAATGATATACACAACACAAATACATGAATACAACTAATAAAATAACTCTAAAGCGCGCATAACATATATTTAAATGATTGATAATAGCTAGGTGTACATAAACAATAACATATCTAGACCAAGCAAAGAATCAAGTCATAAAGCTCTGGCCACAGCCACATGATTCTTTAACATTCGGATTATTGAAGACAAACCCGGCCGATAGTTTGTCTTCTACGTAGTCCATTTCTGAACCAATGATGGTAAGTAGAGCATTTGATGCTACTAGCACAGTAACACCTAGTAATAGGCTGATTAGCACGGCTGTATAACAAATAACTCATTCGGTATACTTACCATCTTGTTTAACCACTTCGTCAAATTTATTTTTCTCCTTGACGTATTCTAGATTGTAAGATTTACCCGAACATCCCTTGTTCTTGACACCAACACGCAGTAATCGTGACTCTTTAGTATCGGTCATCGATTGAAGTCTTTGAATAGCAGCAGGGGTCTATAAACATAGATCGTTACTACAGGTACCGATCACTGCTTTCCAGTACCTACCAATGACAAGATCGCACGACGGGGTCTAGCCCGTGCGGCTGAAGCGCCTACTTGACGAATAGCGTTCATTTTAGTGTATAAAATAGCGTAGCAATAGCTGTGGTATTCAAAAGATGAAATGAAAGGTAGCGAGTGAATCCAAGTCAGGGTGAGAAAATGAAACATTTATAGATTATAGATGTTAATAGTGCTTATTAATTTAATGCCTTTGAATTTATTTATTAATTTCTTGAAGCTGCTATATTTTAACTCTTATATCTTTTATTTATCCATTTCACCATCTTTTTCTTAATACTTTTAAACGCAATTAAACATCCATTCATCACTACACCATGTATAATATTGCATCTAACATTAATTAATTAATGTTTAGTTATCGGTACAATAATGTAATGTAATTAGTTATCTCTATTATTGCTTTAATATATATATTATCATTTATTTAGTCAGATTGATTATAGAAAAAGTGGCTGTTTAATAAACAGCTTTTATACTAATACTATTGATATTGATCTTACATCACAAATATGCCCAACATGCAATAGTAGAATATTAGAAAATAGAAAAGATTATTCAGATGCAATAATTCATGCTGTACATAGATGCAATAACAACAAATGTGGAATGACATGGAATTGCAATTATATGGCTTTTATTAATATTCCATCAATCTTTCTACACATGACCAACAACAACAATGATCAACCTCAAATGTTTCAATGGAATCAAATGATATGTTACATTATTTATTTAAATCAATATATTAACAATATTTTAATAGAAAGTAATATAACTATGTTGCGTATAACAACAGCATAACCTCAGTTGAAACAAATCTGCTTTAGAGACTCAAAACAAGAAAATTAACGTAAAATTTAATTTATTTAATAAATTAAATAGATGAATAAAAGATTATATTTATTTAATAATTAAAATTAGTAATAACTATGCTATATACTACTTTATTAGTTAAAGCTTTTTATAAAAATATATCTATATTAATAATTGATCAGTCATCTAAATGAACAGATTTATTGTTGTAAATAGAGTCTTTTCATTCAATAGCTAGTGTTTATAATACACAATATTAACTAAACACTATCTTTATATTAGCCATCTATTTATATCATTTATGAAATATATACAATAATTTATTATTTTCTTTTAAAATAGTATTACTATTGGGCAGTAAACGAATGATAAATCAATAACCAAATTTCTAATTAATGCAAGCCGTGAAATGGCACGATGGTTGATTTACCAATGTAACTGTTTGAAATACATAAAGAAATAAAAATGAATAGGTGACATTCATAGAGAGAAATAGAGAATAAAGAGAGAAAGAGAAAGGTAAAAATGAGTCACATCAAGGTGCAGGCGTTTTTGAAGCAGAAAATAAATCAAGTTCTAATGGAATAATTGGCGATGGAAGTATATCGATGGGCAGTAAAGGCACATCAGCATCTGCTTCCATTTCAGCTTCTTCTAACATACTGGGCCAGTCAATGGCGGTGGTTGAGCCATAATAGCGCAATAAAGGTTGCGTTGGCAGGCCAGCAAGAACAGATACTTGGGCCAATTGGTTACTACTTTGTCGTTGAGCATGAAATCGCCGCGAGGCAAAAGAGCGCGGCGAAGGCGGTGATATTATTTCATTACTATTAATATTATTGCTATTGCTATTGCTGTTAATACTGTTGTTATTACTATGGTTACTATTAACAGTGGTCATATTGGTCATAGTATTCATATCACCAAACGTATTGTTATTGTTATTATTATTATTATTGTTATTGTTGTTATAGTTATGGTTATGGTTATTGCTGCTACTACCTGGTTGATAATAATTGGTATAAACACTATAGCTATCTATTTCAGTTGAATCAGAAGCAATAGAATGAGTAGAGCGACGAGAAGGCGCTCTAGGTACTGCATGAACTGTATGTCGTCGTTGTCGAAGCATAGAAGTAAACCGATCCTCTTCATCTTCTGTATCCATAAAAGAACGTCGTACTTGTGTACGAATATCCTGTGCCTCATCATCTCGTCGTCCCGCTAATATCCCAAATAAGTAATAGTTACCTAGATAATACAAATATAGACAAAAAAGAGAGTCACTTACGTTTTAATCGTACAAATGAAGGGGTCGACCGAATAATACGCGAATGAGGTGCATCTGGATACAAAGCCATCTATAATAAATAACACGTCATTACTAAACCCACCACTAGTATGCGTTAATGTACTTGCCCGTAAATCATCGCGCAATTGCATAAATCGAAATATTGATTCTAGTTGTGGATCTGTATCAAGTAGCGCGAGTAGATCACGCACGGCTACCATACGACGGTCACACCGTTGAGCGTGTAGACCGAGTTCTGCCGCCAAATGGCGTGCCACTTCTCGGATGATACAGCCCAGCAGTATCAAAT